ACGTCTTCGATTAATTAAGTGTTGCAACGTTCGACAATGTCAGGTCCATTCACACCTTGCCCAGCAGACAAGGGGAGATGCTGAAAGATGCATGAGCCAATCAGCATGAGGAACAGAAGAGCATGCTCAATGCCGTGTTCGATCTCCGCTAGGTCAACAAAGCTACTAGCGATGTATTTTAATTTATTTTTTACTGTTTAATTTTTTTTTTGACCTAACATAAAATACCACGAAATAGCGAAACTTTTGCGAGATTGGAATAAAAAAAAAAATCTGCGATGTACTGAGAGGGAACCAGAAGGGGAGCTAAAGGAGAACCGCGATATAGAGAGGGAACACTGTATAGCAAGAGCAGGTGTAGCATATTAAATAGCGAGCTAGAGACAGATGCCCTCGTTCCGAAGCATCGGGTCAGAATGTAGTCTGTCACTTAATAACGCTACACAGGGTGTGATTGCAGTGAACCCTGGGTTAGTCAGTGACACACACTGTCATCTTGGATGAGAGTCAAACCAAGCGGTTAAATCAGAGAATCCTGACGGAAAAGTGATGTTCAACAGTGCTCTGGTCAGATCGTGCAGTCAATACTGTGGAGCTAATTGACTAGTTAGCATGGTGAGGCGGTGCGGAATGACCTGTTGAACTGACATATTTACCTAGAATTAACTTTCTCATTTTGCTGTCCAAACATGATACGTAATCTGATGTGGGTAGAGGTCATATGTCACGTGCCTTTTCTTTACATAGTGCCTAGCGCGGACATGAGTCAGCTCACTGGTTATTGACGCATAATGTGTTAGTTCCGTTAGGATTTGTCTATTCAAAGGGTTACCCAAGTTGCTCTGTAAAGAAGTTGACTTTTGTTTTCATTTACGTCACACGTTCCGGGAACATTTTTTGGTCGGGTTAGAAGAGGAACAGCTGCGTTACTCAACATGCTGTCAGTATCAGTGGGTGTAATCAGCCTTTTATTGTAGTCAAGATTAATCAAGCTTTTGGATAAGCATGAGAATTGGTTCAAATTTGTACATATTGCAAGTGTTGGTAAGTATCGCAAGTTGGGAGGTCCGATAATATTGATATTAGCATAATTATGTTATATTGGTAAGCATCGCTATTGGTTTTATTTCCGATAATGAAAACGTGATAACGCAATGTCTTGGTTTCCCAAGATAATTTTGAGATAAAGTTTTGAAGTTGAAGTGAAAGTAAAGTACTGTCATTGTGACACAGTGCACAACACTGCACACAATAAAAAGTGTCCTCTGCCTTTAACCCAAACGGCTGCATATATCGGTATTGATTGATATCCGAAACGGAAAATAAGTGTTCGGACGATATCGGCATATTGGACCCCGCGAAAAGTTAATATCGGACATCGCTAATTGCAAAACTACATGCATTTGTAGAACATTTGGATGAAAAATGGCAGGTAGATACAGAATAAAATGCCATCAAACCATCCTCATCATTTGACAACAACTTGACGGAATGTCTTGTGTCCATCTTGAAGTATTTCACGTCTTGCTGCAGTTTAGCAGCAAGGAATTCAGTCCCCTCGCTCCCGACTCTTAAGAACAAATACGAAAATAAAAACCAAAAGGGCTGAGAGAACAGACCTCAACATCAGACATCGGTTTCTCCAGGAGATCCAGGAGTAATGCAGATCTCCGTGCCCCCTGAGAAACAAGTCAATCGATGTATGGCCCCCAGGTCGTTACTGCTGTAGATAAAATGTCGACTGCCAACTTTACCGAAACCCAAAGGTAACTGTAGCTCATTCGGTGTCAAGATTTAAGGTCAGTTCTCTCCAGAACACGCACGAACATACACGCTGACGCAAAATTCTAAGGTAGGGATATAAAAAGGCAACAAATATATACAGCTAATCCCACAGCCCAACGGTTCGTCAATCCATCGCAGGGCCACATATAGAGATTGTGGCGGTTTCCGAAATCATTCCATATTTACGGAATTACATATGGAGAATTTTATAGTTGACTTGTCGATTTTGGACACTACTTACTACTAATGCGTTAATTGGACGCTGCTCCTTTCTCCGCCATGTCGTCGCGACTGCAGTGCATGATGGGATATACGTATTGCTTGGGTAGTGACCATCGCATGTACGCTAGATTTCGTGGTGTATTGCGGGATACATTGAGTGCACTTTATAGTGGACATATTCTACTCACTTAACATTCGGACATCTCTACAAAATGGTGTGCCCCCATGTAAGATCTAGGGGGGCGTTTTCCGTCACAGCCTGTCACGGCTGTCTCTTCCTGGGTAATCTGTTGATCACACTCAATGTCTTGGTCTCACTTGTAATGAAACTGGTGCCTCATATTTATATCTATCCCTGTCCTTCACTCTGTCACGATCAACCTAATCATCCAACGTGCTTGTTTTTGGGCCGTAGGGTGAAACTGGAGTACCCGGAGAAAAACCGCAGCATTCCTACATTGGCCACCGTGTGACGCCAGGTTCATCTACTGAGGTACTAAATCTTATTTGCATTTCAAATCTCTAAAAGTTATTTTAGGAGTGACTTTAAGAGAAAAAAAAAGAACACGTCTCGTTGTCCTTGTCTTGAAATAAAACGTTCCGATATAACGAAATTAAATAAAGTCCAAGGACAAACGTTTGTCTTTTTAGAGTAAAAGGTACAGCGGGTAATGAGGGGGTTTTTTAAGAAGGGGTTTTTACTGCCAAATTTGCAGAGGCAAATGTCTCTGGCCTAAGCATTAAAGACATATTTTTGGACACAGTGAGGACTGATGGAAAAATTATAATCACAATTTGTCTTTTTGTCAATAATGGAATCACAATTATTAAAAAAAACAATTACTCATTGACTATGAAGACACATTGCATTCATGGCATATGATGTTTTCCTTCCAACATTCAAATATAATAACAAGTAAAATCAGAGGTTGGAAAATAAATCAATTATTAAATAAAAAAAAAAAATACAACGTATGTAAATGAAAATGATACAGTACAACACAATAACAACCCATAATAAAAAACAAATCATTCAAACTAGAAATGTAATAGCATTTATCATGCCTCAAAATATCAAGAAAAAATTGGAAAAAAAGTTATTTAGACCAAAATATATTTGCCCACCGTATTAACCTAGACACCATCTAGCGCATTAAATATATATTCTGATACTCAATATACAATATACAAACTCAATCCAAGAACAGGAAATGCTGGTAGCACTGCTGTTGTACTATTGAATATGTCTTTTCTGTTTCCGTATTAGTTGGTTGTAAATCACTTGGTGTTTGAATTTTTTAAACATTTCTTTTTTGCTGATTCAACCCTGCTGCTCCTCTCCGTCTGTTATCTACTCGTGCTGCTCTCCTCCTTCTGTCTGTCTTTACACATGCTGACGTAAAAAAAAAAAAAAAACCTACGCCACATTCGCTTCTACTGTCGTGTTACAGTCGGTAGGTTTCAAAACAAACTTGCGGCGGCTCTCCTTGGTCATACCTTACTGTTACATATACTATGAAAATGCACAAAATTGGCTTCAAAACTGGTAACACGTTCTCTGATTCGCTGGTTGCTGGTCAGTGTCAGTCATGCCACAAACTTTGTATTTTGGACGACTACTGCATGATAGGGCCTACAACATTTTCATCTCACCGATACCACTTCTGCAACTTGGAGATTTTCTCCTCTAATCTCGAATTTGTGAGCATCATCGGACCAGTTCCGGATTGAGTCTTATGTACCTTCGCTGGTTGCTGGTCAGTGTCAGTCATGCCACAAACTTTGTATTTTGGACGACTACTGCATGATAGGGCCTACAACATTTTCATCTCACCGATACCACTTCTCCAACTTGGAGATTTTCTCCTCTAATCCCGAATTTGTGAGCATCATCGGACCAGTACCGGATTGAGCCTTATGTACTGTATTTTCCGGGCTATAAGTCACTCTGGAGTATAAGTCGCACCACCCAAAAAATGCATAATGAAAAAGATAAAACATATATAAGTTTCTCCGGAGTATAAGTCACACCAGTGCCCTCTAGCGGCTGTCAGTGTGAAAATAACAAACATGTACATTTTCAGTAGTACATGTGTAGCAGATACTGGTACACGAGCCTAGAGTGCCCTCTAGCGGCTGTAAGTGTGAAAATTACGAACATGTGAATTTCCAGTAGTACATGAGTAGCAGATACTAGTACACAAGACTAGAGTGCCCTCTAGTGGCTAGCAGTGTGTAAACAACAAACATGAAATTGTATATTTTAATATATAAGTCGCACCTGATTATAAGTCACAAATCCAGCGAAAGGATGAAGAAAAGTCCGACTTATAGTCCGGAAAGTACGATAATTCAAATGAGGCAATATAAATATATCGGTGGTTGTCAGACGTGGACCTGTACAAGGGCTTGGGGTCCACCTCAGTTTGGCTTGTAGTCTGTTGTTAAAGCACATATCAAATGCTCTTTAGCTTTACCTTTGACTCATCTGGCTGTTTGTCTGTTTTTCTTGTTCATGTTTTGGCTTTGGGACTCACAGGATGCGTAGTGTTGCTATTCACGTTGTCATTTTGTCCTGCTGTGAAGGTGACAGTGTAATTGCAGTTATGTGAAAAAGAGTGGGCGAACTTTGAGGGGTTTTTCTTCCTGTTCTATGTCAAGGCATGGATTTGGTCTTGCTGCTCCTCTGCACCACTCCGTGCTGAAATGAAGACAGCTGGGAGAAGATGCTGTGAGAACCCTCCTGTGTGTAGTCTGTGTCCCAGCATGCTTTGCTGCTAGAAATATTCCCTTATCTCTATATCAGGAGTGTTTAGCGCAGCTAAAGTCTGTCAAGAAGCAGCCTAAAAAGCCGACTATGCAGATGAACGTAATTTACAAAATATACAGCACACTTGGAAATGGTGAAAGTTGACCCTCATAAATAGGACAAAAAAAGCCGCCCCAATTGGATACACTTTACTCATTAATAGCCCAAACCTTAGCTAACCTTTATTTTCACATGAAAAACCAAACCTTAGCTAACCTTTATTTTCACGTGAAAAAACACTTCATTTCCGATTCCGATATATCAACCAATACAATACATACAGCCTTTTTTCACCAAAACTATTTTTAGGTCACGTCACATATCTAAACACATGAACTACTCTTATTGTGATGCCCAACTAAAGGCATTCCACAAATTAGCGATGTCTGTACAAAATACATTTTTTTAAGCAAGTAATTCCAGCATATCTGACGAAACCAACGCATTGCGTTATCAGGTTTTCATCATCAGAGGTAAAAGTGATAATAATTATTTTATAGGATATGTTTCTGTAGTCTGAAGTCTGCAGCAAGGACATTGTTTTGAAATCCTCTGGGGGACTGTTGATCTGTGGAAAAACCGCCGCCTTCCTCTAATTTCTGTGAAGTCAAAACATGCTGATGTTTCAGGCTGGGATGAACCAATATTCCTTTGAGAGCCATATCATTCCCGTGCAGCCTCTTCACCTGTTTCCATCCTTTTAAGTTTGAATCTGACCTTTGCATAAATTTCCAACCTGCGCAACCATAGCACCTGTGGGAATTGAGCAATTACCACTATAATGACAATGGGTGAGGGGTCGGCTTTCTCGCGCGGCTCGTCAATACTGGAAAGACGCTGCGTCTACACTGCGTTGTGTTGCACGTATCGTTGTAAATATGCATTCAACATAGAATGTCCGTGCTACCATCTAGTAATCCTTTACCACATAGAGATTCCGTGGCCAATCCTGGCTGCCATTGGGAAAACTCAGGGTCCATTTTTTTATCTACCAAAAAAAAAATAGAGACGTGGTCAATATAGAGTTCCTAATTATGATACAATACCAGGGAAAAGCCACGAACAGTCGTGTAACCTCTGATCTCTAATCAGACTGGTCCACCGACAGAAAATAGAAGCAGGATTATCTGTCACGGCGTGACCTTTTGTGAGACGCAGTGTTAGCCTCAACATGCTCTTTGATATTTCGTGTGTCTCCGGTGACGTCGGAATTTTCACGTAAGAACACTGGTGGAGTCGATGTTCACAGGTTGACGAAATAAACGTGCGTTAAAGGCATTTTTATTAGGTTAGCGCTGTACATAGAAGTCTCCCCTACAGTCATAACAACCCTCACAAAAAGAAACAACCTAGTTAGTAAAACAAAATATGGATTTTTTCCCAGATGGTCACAGGTTCGAATCCCAGGCTGTGGTATATTAAGCAAGCACTAAAATGGACTTGTTTTCTAAGCATTTATTGCAGTAATTAAACAGATTCTAAAATGGACTTGTTTTCTAAGCATTTTTTGCAGTAATTGAACCGATTTGTACATGGACATGGACCAATAAAACTAGTTATTTTCTTGTGTTAAGCAATGTTTCTCGTGAAAAAAGTCTACAGTATTAAGCTAGGTCCACTTCCTGGACCTAGCTTTTTGTATTTTCTGTATTTAAAGACACATTTAGTACCATATTTTCCAGACTATAAGTCGCTACGGATCCTGGAGCAATAGCGCCGATTTGACTTTAAAACGCATTCGGAGTATTGGAGGAAGGGGGTGGGGGGGTGTTCTGAGCTCCGAGCTCTTTTTATGCGGAACCCAGATTGGAAATGTTTGAGAACTCCGCCTCTGTTTCTCCGTAGGAACAAGGAGGGTGAGCCTGCGCGGTGAACCCCGCCTCCCTGTAACCTTTTACCCGAGTCACTCTAGCTCAACATCACCAAATAACAACAAAGACGGCTGCCAGGGTACAAGCAACCATGCTAGAGAGGCTAGTTCGGCTACTTGGTGTAACACAGCAAATTATTCCACTCTGCTGGAATAATAGAAGGCGCTGTTTTCACGGTTTTCTGAACATCTTCCGATGTTCGTACGTTAAAGCGGATGTAATACAGCGCCACATATGTATATGTACCGTATTTTCCGGACTATAAGTCGCACTTTTTTTCATCCTTTGACTAGGTTTGCGACTTATACTCAGGTGCGACTTGCATATTAAAATATATAATTTAACATGTTTGTTATTTTTACACTGACAGCCGCTAGAGGGCACTCTAGGCTTGTGTACCAGTATCTGCGACTCCTGTACCACTGAAAATGTACATGTTCGTTATTATCACACTGACGGCCGCTAGAGGGCGCTCTAGGCTGGCTGGGGCGACTTATACTCCGGAGCGACTTATAGTCCGGAAAATACGGTACTACGGGTTATTGATTCTCACGCCCTGGTTCCGTGTGCCTGGGACAAGATCGCTCCTCATCCAGAGGATCTTTAATCGTATCGCAGCTATGTTGTTCATAAAAAATGTTTTCCCCCTGCCGGGACAAGCTTTGCTCTCCTTGTCCTTGTCTGTCACAGAAACCATTCGAAGTCCAATAAATAAACATGAACGTATCATGCATGGGACTTGGACCCAGTCTTGATTAAAAGATGGCGGGACTGTCATGCTTTCATTCACTTTAATTTTTCAATCAATCCAGT